GTACATACTGAGTGGTAGAGTGTACATCACGTGTGTACATACTGAGTGGTAGAGTGTACATCACGTGTGTACATACATACTGGTAAAGTGTACATCACGCGTGGTGCATACTGTGTGGTAGAGTGTACATCACGTGTGTACATACTGATTGGTAGAGTGTACATCACGTGTGTACATACTGAGTGGTAGAGTGTACATCACGCGTGGTGCATACTGAGTGGTAGAGTGTACATCACGTTTGGTACATACTGAGTGGTAGAGTGTACATCACGTGTGGTACATACTGAGTGGTACAGTGTACATCACGTCTGGTACATACTGAGTGATTGAGTGTACATCACGTGTGGTACATACATACTGGTAAAGTGTACATCACGCGTGGTGCATACTGAGTTGTAGAGTGTACATCGCGTGTGGTATATACTGAGTGGGAGGTGTGTAGGATTTCTGTGTGTACACACTGAGTGGTAGGTGTTTAGGATTTCTATGTATATAGGTATATACTGATTGGTAGGTGTGTAGGATTTCTATATGATGTGTATAAATACTGTGTGGTAGGTGTGTAGGATTTCTATATGATGTGTGTGTGTACACACTGAGTGGTAGGTGTTTAGGATTTCTATGTATATACTGATTGGTAGGTGTGTAGGATTTCTATATGACGTTGGTACATACTGAGTGGAAGGTGTGTAGAATTTCTGTATGATGTTTGTACATAGTGAGTGGTAGGTGTGTAGGATTTCTATATAATGTGTGTATATACTAAGTGGTAGATGTGTAGGATTTCTATATGATGTGTGTACATACTGTGTGGTAGGTGTGTAGGATTTCTATATCATGTGTGTACATACTGAGTGGTAGGTGTGTAGGATTTATGTATGATGTGAGGTACATACAGAGTGGTAGGTGTGTAGGATTTCTATATGATGTTGGTACATACTGAGTGGAAGGTGTGTAGAATTTCTGTATGATGTTTGTACATACTGAGTGGTAGGTGTGTAGGATTTCTATATGATTTGTTTACATACTGAGTGGTAGGTGTGTAGGATTTTTATATGATGTGTGTACACACTGAGTGGTAGGTGTGTAGGGGTTCTATATGATGTAGGTACATACTGAGTGGTAGATGTGTAGGATTTCTATATGATGTGTGGTACATGCTGAGTGGTAGGTGTGTAGGATTTCTATATGATGTGTGGTACATACTGAGTGTTAGGTGTGTAGGATTTCTATATGATGTGTGGTACATGCTGAGTGGTAGGTGTGTAGGATTTCTATATGATGTAGGTACATACTGAGTGGTAGATGTGTAGGATTTCTATATTATGTGTGTTCATACTGAGTGGTAGGTGTGTAGGATTTCTATATGATGTAGGTACATACTGAGTGGTAGATGTGTAGGATTTCTATATTATGTGTGTTCATACTGAGTGGTAGGTGTGTAGGATTTCTATATGTTGTGTGTATATACTGAGTGGTAGGTGTTTAGGATTTCTATATGATGTGTGGTACATGCTGAGTGGTAGGTGTGTAGGATTTCTATATGATTTGTGTACATACTGAGTGGTAGGTGTGTAGGATTTCTATATGATTTGTGTACATACTGAGTGGTAGGTGTGTAGGATTTTTATATGATGTGTGTACACACTGAGTGGTAGGTGTGTAGGATTTCTATATGATGTTGGTACATACTGAGTGGTAGATGCGTAAGATTTCTATATGATGTGTGTACACACTGAGTGGTAGGTGTTTAGGATTTCTATATGATGTAGGTACATACTGAGTGATAGATGTGTAGGATTTCTATATGATGTGTGTACATACTGAGTGGTAGGTGTGTAGGATTTATGTATGATGTGTGGTACATACTGAGTGGTAGATGTGTAGAATTGATGTATGATGTGTGGTACATACAGAGTGGTAGATGTGTAGGATTTCTATATTATGTGTGTTCATACTGAGTGGTAGGTGTGGAGGATTTCTATATGATGTGTGGTACATGCTGAGTGGTGGGTTTGTGGGATTTCTATATGATGTTTGTATATACTGAGTGGGAGGTGTGTAGGATTTCTGTAATATGTGTGGTACATACTGAGTGGTAGAGTGTACATCACATGTGGTACATACTGAGTGGGAGATGTGCAGAATTGATGTATGATGTGTGGTGCATACAGAGTGGTAGATGTGTAGGATTTCTATATCATGTGTGTTACATGCTGAGTGGTAGGTGTGTAGGATTAGTACATACTGAGTGGTAGATGTGTAGGATTTCTATATGATGTGTGTACATACTGAGTGGTAGGTTTGTGGGATTTCTATATGATGTGTGTATATACTGAGTGGTAGGTGTGTAGGATTTCTATATGATGTGTGTACATACTGAGTGGTAGGTTTGTGGGATTTCTATATGATGTGTGTATATACTGAGTGGTAGGTGTGTAGGATTTCTATATGATGTGTGGTACATATTGAGTGGTAGGTTTGTAGGATTTCTATAAGATGTGTGTACACACTGAGTGGTAGGTGTTTAGGATTTCTATATGATGTAGGTACATACTGAGTGGTAGATGTGTAGGATTTCTATATTATCTGTGTTCATACTGAGTGGTAGATGTGTAGGATTTCTATATTATGTGTGTTCATACTGAGTGGTAGGTGTGTAGGATTTCTATATGATGCGTGTATATACTGAGTGGTAGGTGTGTAGGATTTCTATATGATGCGTGTATATACTGAGTGGTAGGTGTGTAGGATTTCTATATGATGTGTGGTACATACTGAGTGGTAGGTGTGTAGGATTTCTGTATGATGTGTGGTACATATTGAGTGGTAGGTGTGTAGGATTTCTATATGATGTGTGGTACATATTGAGGTGTAGGTGTGTAGGATTTCTATATGATGTTGGTACATATTGAGTGGTAGGTGTGTAGGATTTCTATATGATGTGTGTACATACTGAGTGGTAGGTGTGTAGGATTTCTATATGATGTGTGTACATACTGAGTGGTAGGTGTGTGGGATTTATATATGATGTGTATACATTTGTTTGTTTGTTTGTTTGATTTTGTTTAACGTCCTATTAACAGCTAAGTGTATACATCACGTGTGGTAGAGTGTGTAGGATTTCTATATGATGTTGGTACATACTGAGTGGTATGTGTGTAGGATTTGTATATGATGTGTGTACATACTGAGTGATTTCTATATGATTTATTTACATACCGAGTTGTAGGTTAAACTAAGAAGAATATACTTTAAGCCAGAAAACAAATAGTTGTTTCATATTAAATATAGAATATTAATAATGTTAAATCAAATTTTCTTTAGGTTATTTAATTGTTGCCTGTTTTTTTTAGACATATGTCAGTGGAAACAATTACAATATTCATTAATAAATTTCTGGTATAAGCACTGGCAGCAAAATAAATTATGACATGCAGCATAAATGGACAAAATCATGGGTTATCTCCCTTCAACAGGTGCAGGACATTTAATGTGAACGCTGATGGCACAGGTAAACTTGTGGTAGTAAACATGAAGGTCCGTTAATACGACACCACGAGAGAGTGAAACAATGAACCATAACGGCGTGATTCTAGCAACTCACTTTTATGAATATTATAACAATTATGAAAAAAAATAATGTGAAAAACAGGTATTTAGTGTTCATATATGATAGTACATAAACAATCATGCTTCAATTATATGAGTTAGAAACTGGGTAACTGTGGAAGTATTGAGCACGTCAGTCTTTGAAAACTGCAACTCGATATCTCTCTATTTATCATTACTTTTTATACGGCCGACAAAGGTAGCATAATGTAAAACAATGATGTGCGTAACATCAATCCATCGGGTTGTCGTTTTTGCATCATACCTTATGACCGCAACCAGTCAAAATTTGTCATATCAAACCTACTAACAGTGTCATGTTTTTTCAGCTTTGATGCCGATTCCAATGTTACCAACAGTCCAGGAAATTGACCTTCATTGACAGATGTATGTCTACTTGGATAAGACGTACTTGACATGAATCGGATTTCTCCATCACGGCATTTCACCGTGCTACATCCCTGCGTTCCATACACCTTTGTGTGCACCCCTCCGTGTATGACGACAGTATATGTTTGTCCTGGTGTTATTTTGATGATGTGCTGGAATTCTATAGTAACCTCTTCCTTATTCGGCAACATGTGTGTTTTCTCGTATAGAGTGTCACCAGCCTGATTGTAGACTCCTATAAGAATATTAAGTTCTCCCTTTTTCGAACCGTAAAGCTGCAGTCCATGCAGCGAAATGTCAACGGTGGAGACAAACGATATCGATTCGCTATCAGCAACAAGCATTACACTCCGTTTATTGCGCGCCGTACCCTTAAATCTGCTTATGCATTCTTTTACAAGTGTTACTGGTTTTCTAAGTGCTCGTTGGTTCACGGTAAATTCTGTGCAGGGATATGTTTTGTTGTCCTGCTGAAATCTTAGGATGCTCAGTAACTGTTCTGCCGTCAGAACATCTCTCTTAATGACATGCTGTGATAAATACTTGGCGTCTATGATGGGGAACCTGACTGTGTAGATTATGTCCCCTAGTACCTCCCGTCTATTTGTATCCGTCACCTCCAGGCCCTGACGTCCACACTCCCCCTCAGACCAACTCATCACCGCCTCGTACACCACGCTCTCCTCCACCGCTAATTCGTCCGACTCTGTGATACTCTTCACACAGACGCCACACAGGTCGACGAAACTGTTGGACTTCAGCGCTTCTTTCGAAGACCTTGCGATGACGCGTCGATAGTCTTCCTTCAGGCTTTCTTCTGTGTAGATATGGGCTTGTTCTAATAGAAGACATACATTTTCAGCCGTAAGAGAACTCTTTAGAAAAGTTTCACACTTTTTGACAAGACGGTCAACCATGTATTTCCTCGCAGCTGACAGGATAGAGGTTGAAGTTTTGACGGTCAGTTCTATTGTGTCTGTATACAGATACCTATATTTAAATAAACAAAATAACTTATTTTGTAAATAGAACATCTTACAGCATGACATGGCATACACATTATCCATTTTACTCTTGATAGGATTTTAAAATTTTGAAATTGTATGAAGACATGAAGAAGGAATTACGGTCATAATTCAACTTGCAGCTAAGTATCGTTCTATTTATTTAATATGCATAGGAAAACATAAAACAGTCAATCTTACCTCAAAAACATTGTGAACACCTCTTGTTCAATATCCGGAATTGCTATTTCGCCCCTTTTCGGCGAGATTTCCCTCAAACATGGTGTAAAATACAGGACTTCTGCTGATCAGAATAGTTTGTATGGGCCGAAATCCTGTATTTGTCTTCTCCAACCAGGAATGTGACTTCACATGCTATACCGGATGCGAATAGATGATTCAGACACTCGACCAGTGATTTATCACATTGCCAAATTGGTTCTTGAGCTTGCGCAGTTGCCATTTCCGCCTTTAAAGATATGTAGATAATACAGGCGTTTGTAAAAATAACTTTTGAAATAAGTGATTGCTTAAAGGCTATGTTGAACCCGTGCAACATTTTATAAACGGTCAATATACACTAAGTAAAGAGAGAGTCGGATTAGAGTCAGGACTAAGATATACACCCATGTCGAAATTTAGTAACAGTTGATGACCAATTACAAACACAAAATTCAATTAAGTATAAACAAATCGATTTTAACTTGCATAGTTGTCAGATATTCAGTACATTATAAACCTCATGAATATTGTAGATATAATCCTTGATATTTTAATCGCGTTCGTGTTTCATTTGCTTAAAGATCACTTAAAACACACTCTTGATTATATGCGGTACACTGTACTTAAGGAACCTCGTATTGTCCATTCTGATTTGGTTTGGTTTTATAGTGTTTAACGTCCTATTTACATATGAGGTCATTAAAGGACGTGCCTCAATATGTGTTGTGTAAGCGTGAAAGTGTGTATGTGTGCTGGAGACAGAATATGTTGGTGTTAATGCCTCCATGTAATAGCACGGATCTGATGCCGACTTTATAGTGCTATCACACTGAAACACCATGCCGAAAGCACCCAGCACAGCATTTCGCCAGGTCACATTGTACTGACAACAGGTGAATCAGATGTTGCCATTCCCTCTATGCTGAACATTAAGCAGGTAATAAGAACTACCATTTAAGACTTTGGTATGTCCCGGCCTGGGGGCAGAACCGTTTGCTTTCCTCACCTGTGCAAACGCTCATCATTAGAGCAGGAAGTGTGGTCTTATGCTTTGTCGATTTGATGAGACGATGAATTGAGTTGGCCGGAGACAAATGTTTTTAACTGCGAAGGAACTCACGTAATTTTTTTCTCAAGATCAGCTCAATTAATCACATCTTAAGATCATCCAAAGCAATATAAAATCCTTGCTTTTCAAATAAAAGCGTTTGACTATACATGGAACTTGTGGACGTCTGTAAAAAGGCACTAAATATTACATGTGCTTAACAAGCAGTTACCTTTAAACTTGATATTAACATAATCTCTGTCATGAAATGTCCGCTGACCATTTTGGGTCATACACTATGCTGAATATTGACAAATACTAAGCATTGTATGTGATTTTTGTAATTTGTCGATACTGTTAATATTAATAAACAAAAAGTTCAGCTGTTGCGACGGATGACCATCGGACAGATGATGTGAAATAAGTTCATTGACAGTGAATAATTGTACATGGGCAAATAAAACCAGACACAATCTTTTAGTAGTGTAAATTGAGTCCAACTTGGATAAATAATGCTCATGTAATAAAAATATTGTGATCGACATAAAAATTGTGATACACGACTTTTGAACATTTGTTGTGATATTACAATTTCAAATTTCAGAAGTTCAGAAATTACCATTGAATCAAATTCATGTCTTTTTGAACATGGATACAAAATTATCCCTTTGGGAGACTCATTTTCAGTAAAAGTTTTGACAGTAGAGTACTTAATTGTCCTGTAACAATACGGAACTTATACAGATATCTCACTGTGAAAATATTATCAAATATCTACTTGTAATAATCAACAATAAGCATTGAAAAAAACCATCTTGTGTATTAATCATGAGCAAATGATATATAACTTCCTGTTTATAGAGGTCAACATTTTCACCGTTTTATGACAGTGATCTGAGGATAATTTATCATTTTAAAACGCTTTATTGTAACACGTGTACAAATATGATAACATAAGGGTATCACTACACTTACCGTTCAATCCGTAAGATTCGTCTATTTTGTAATATTGCTTTTTTCTTTACACCCGGACTATCCGTCTTTGTAGTGTTACGAGGAATTCCAAAGTTGAAAGTAGATTTATACTGGGGTACCCGAGAGGGTACTTTATTTTAAAATGCATCTCGTTTTTTTGACAGCTGTTCAATGCCCCTGCGTATGCATATTTGTGTTGATCCTTCCCCTTTTGGCGTCCCGTCTTGTTTAATGTAATACAGGAATGTTTGCCTGTGAATGGCGTAAACACTGTTGTTTATTGTATTACAGGAACGTTTGCCAGTAAATGACGTAAACACTGTTATTTATTATATCACAGGAAAGTTTGCCTGTAAATGACGTAAACTGTTATTTATTCTATTACAAGAACGTTTGTCTGTACATGACGTCAATACTGTTATTCATTATATTACAGGAATATTTGCCTGTAAACGACGTAAACACTGTTATTTATTGTATGACATGAACGTTTGCCTGTAAATGACGTAACACTGCTATTTATTGTATGACAGGAATATTTGCCTGTAAATGACGTTAACAATGTTATTTATTGGATGACAGGAATGTTTGCCTGTAAATGATGTAAACACTGTTACATGTATTTATTGTTTTACACGGAAATTTACCTGTAAATGACGTAAACACTGTTATTTATTGTATGACAGGAATAGTTGCATGTAAATGACGGAAACACTTTATTATTGTATGACAGGAATGTTTGCCTGTAAATGCATAACACTGTTATTTATTGTATTGCCACATAGAACAGTTATATATAGAGTTTACACAATGAGTGTCGGTTGATAAACATGCTTATCTTACTAGAGTTAGATAAACATTTTTATCAACCGACACGAGTTATGTGAATTGTTTCTACCACTATTTGTCCAACTGACGGGGGCTGGCTGGCGTGTATTTGTTTACATGAACCAATTTGACACTCGTAGTAATATATACAAGAGTGTGTTAAGCTCATTGATATTCGAAACACGTAGCATTATTGTAAAGCGCCATGAAACATTTATTTCGTTTCACAAAACAAAAATATATCAAAAGTGTACATTTGATAATGTAACAAATAATTAGGCCGCCTATGCAATGTAGCTATAAATAGATACTAACAAAGTTTATATTGGCGGGGATACTGGACAAGAAAGTTTCGTCTTTTATAATCACTTTCGTCAAGAGTATAGTACTCGTGGTCGTTTTGGTGCAGCCTGGTTTATATTTATATGAAATGTTCCACCATTTATTGGTCCATTGAAAAGACGTGGTGTTGATCCGTCATCGTAACAGTGGATGATGATCTGCTTAATAGTGAACTCGAAGCAACAATCGCACGTGGAACCTGCTGAATGTGAGCCTCTCGTGATGGACCAGCTGAGGTTGTTGGATATGACATCTGATATCGCCTTGTGTTGTTTAGTGTTAAGACTGGAGTAGGAGGTAATGATCTGGATGTTGAGATGACCAGAAATCTAGAATAAAATGCGATGATAAGTCCGGTGTTTTGGGCTATTTTGTGCAGAATTGTGATGAAATGAGATCGATTGGATTTATTGTGAATGGATTTTATAATTCTTAATACTGAGGTAAGTCACTATCAGAATAATCTTCAACAAGTTTGACAAGAATCTAGCTTTTTGTTAACTATATGGTTTGTCAACTGTTTACTGGAGGCCTATAATCTAGATAGAACTACCTGCATTATTGTATTCGGGGGTACTCCACTGCCATTCAACTTCTGTACCAGGTATTTTCGTGAGCTGTGGTTTGTTAGTCTTTTTGCCGGCGCAGCAGTCGATACAGATTTTGACCCCGTCAGACCTGAAAGTTAAATTCAATACAGGCAACTGTCAACTTGAGCTTGAAATTGACTGAATGGCGGGAGCTGAATCGATATATTGACCAATTTCAGCGCTTTTCAGGTCTATTTTTTATGTAAATTATGAATTGAAAGCCTATATTACTTTACAGTAGAGTAATATGTTGTGCATTTGTGCATATCTGCATGTTTTGCCATAGTCGACATGAATATTCCCAGTTTGTTCACGCCGACTGGTTGTGCTTTATACCATTTTTGGGATTTGGATATGTTGGTGTTGGTCGATATATAAAACGGACTGTCGTCTAAGCAATATGTCGCTGGCCGGTGTTGTTTGTACAGGTTGTAGGCGACCACGGGACAGCGGGAGGGGTTTTCGGGAGTAGACCATGTGCTATCAAACATCCTAATTATTTTTTGAACACATGCAAACTTTATAGGAAGTTTAGTGCCCTACAATTTCTTGTGTTTGAACCTGGTCTGGTTTTGGTTTGGCATTCATTGTATTGCAAATGATTGTCATTTCCCGAGTCGTTACACACGACCACATCACCCCAGACGGTTCGTAAGAGGGATTCAGGATTGTCATTACCCAACTGCTTTGTTTCGCATAATTTGTTAATGTCTTTATCAGAAATAGGATCAGCTTTAGTTTCTAAATTTCCCTTCCGACCCCTTTTCATTTTTTGATGACTTCTGTCACTTTTTGAAATTCCTTACTTGTCGAAATTTCGAAAGCCGTAATCATTATATTTGAGGTGCCTGTCAACACCGCATGAAATTCCCCTAATAGTACTAGGTTCTAGATCTGTTCCATCCTTTCCTTTCACATTCATGAAAAATATGCAAAGAAGTGTATGATTGGCCGTGACTCCTTAAGAAATTCTAACAGCTTGTTCATGTCAGATTCGGTCTTTTTCTGTGTGTTCCTGTTCTGTTCATCTCTAATAAATGTATCTATATCAATGTTGATGAGTTCGTCATTGGAATTTGGTTGATTATTTGGCGTTTTTTGATGGGGGAATAGGCAGAATGGGGCATTCCTCTTGTGAGAAGAGGCGGGGCCTAACGTTGTTATGGTCTGGGGGAGTATGGGGCAGGAGCATTGCCGGTTGGATGACCCGCCTGGGGATTATATCAAATCTGTACCTGGCCTCGGTGACCATCTTACCGCTGGACTCCAGTCTGATTTCAAAACTACGGAAACCCAGGTTATTTGAAATATCCAAAACTTCACCCTTCTCTCCCCCAAAAAGCTTCACCTGATCACCTATCTGTACCAGCGGCAGCAATGACAACACGGCCATGTTGATGTTGACAAACGACAGTTCTGATTGAAAAGTAAGCGGGGTCAAAGTGCATATTTTCAGCCAATCAAAATGCCGGAAGGTGTTAATCAACTGAACAGCGTGTTAATCAACTGCACAGCTTGTTAATCAACCGGAAGTGCAGATAATCAACCGTCTAAGAGTTGATAAACACGGGCAATAGTGGTAGAAACACCTAATACTGATTCAAACACAAAACACCCAGACACGAAGGATCAAACAAAAGTGCTGACAGACAAAGTAGATGTCAATCATAGTTTACAAAATGGTACTAAAACTTATAACAGATACAAGATTATTGATGATATTGATGAGGATACTGTTTTGTGATAATAAACATTGATTTAAGTGCATTTTTTTTTATTTAAGTGGATTTTGTGTTCTGTAAATGAAACCATCAGTCAATTACAAACTGTTATACGATGTAGAAAATGCGAATTGTTTTCCTGTATTACTTTCACCTTTATATCTTTTAAAGAGAGGGTGAAATTAACACGGAGCAAACAAGGATTAGTAAATGTGTTGGCCAATATTTCATTTCTGAGGTACAAGTTTCTGACACAAAATTAACATGACCTGGTGGTAAAGAAGTGGTGTGTATGTTAATCAGTATAAAGGTATCTTCATCTGAGTGGTGGATTGTTGAGTCTGGATGAAAACTGATGAATGGCGCATCCTTCATGAAGGGGATGTTCTAATGTATTTGACATGTAACATGGCATTTGATTGGTCAATCCAAATTATTTGCAACAGATTAACCATGATATATTGTCAACATATATATCATTCGGATATGATGTCAATGACACCTACAGACTCTGACAGGTCATGTAATTAATTATTCATGACGTCACAAACAATAGTTTGTGACCACGAAAGGTCAATGAAACTCTGCCTCACTTTAAACATTCCTGACATCACCAATCCACAGCAGAGTGACCCGGATTTAGAAGTATTCGCTCATAAATATTAAGAATTGTTGTTTGTTTTGGCTTATATGAACGAGAATGGGAATAACCAAACTGTGTTTTTAAATTCTATGGCAAGATATTTTGTGATAATACTGTTGCAAGTACGTGTTGCCACAAGTAAAACTCAATTTGCAACAGTATACTCTCAATATACCGATTATACCGCCACATATCACTTGACTTGTGACTTCAGTACCTAAACTGGAGAAAACGTGTCTCGGAATAATGCATGCAGTGCTTGGTGAAAACCTTTTAAAAGACCAGAATGTGAAAATATATCATGGTGTGAATGATCTGGACATAAATATAATATCTGATCTGAACATGTATCTGATCTATTTACTGTATGACAGGAATTATTACCAGAATTTGACTTTGACTTCTCTTGCCCTCCCAAATGAGGACAAATTTACCCTGGCGGCCAATGTTAGTACCAAGCATACAAGAGTAAGTATGTAAGTATATGTAAAGGACGAAATTAACACTGGGTGAATATAGATTTTCATTCTGAAGTTTACATGTTTGTTTGAGCAAAATGATAGTTTCCAGGTATCCAGTGAATGCAACCATGTCATATATTTTTCCGGTATTCATTATAAGTAAACAATCATGGTGATTTGGGCATATATTATTAATGGTATGACGTCGACAACGGTGAGTTAGAATAGCTATGCAACTGATCCGCTCCATTACATAGACTATCTTTGTTATTTATCACCTAATTACTGTGAAACTGGATATTTCCGTGGTGATCAAAATTTCATGGTTTCCCCCAAAACAACAACATTTTGTTGGTACATAAATTCGTGGATTACGAGTACCAAGTTATACGGAAAAAGACTTTATATCAGATTGATAATTAATTTGTGGACCTATGCATTTTTATGCATTGGATTTAGATTATTTACGAAATAATCAAATGTACAACCCCACGAAAATAAGTGTTTTCACAGTACATGGATTGTCTCGCATAGAAAGATAAGGATCAAACATCCTAATTAATTTTTGAACACATGCAGACCTTATAGAGTATTATAATCATCATTAAGTACATTTATGACGTCAGAATGATACAAAATCATCGAAGAAATTACGCTGTGCGATTGGAGAATTATTTTTAGGAAATCTTTATCTCCTATTCATCCAGACACAGGTATGTCAGTTTAATTTTTATAATTCTTAGTTCTCATTGTAAAATATTCAACTCAAAATTGGTTCATTTTGTAAGTTCCTCAATCAAAAGAGACTATTTTGTAAGGATTTTAAATGCTTACCCCATGTATAACCTTTAAAAGTAGATGGAACATGTCTTTAAACATACCTCAACACCAAAGAGCTTTGGAGAAAGAACTACAGCTACATTTATAGTTAATTAAATGGATATTTTCACGAGTTCGCCTATGTTCTGCCGTCAACGAGATCATAATTTGAACAGTAAATATTGGTCAAATTGACATTCACGTTACTTATTTAACCCATTAATTTGATTGGAATGGCGGAGTCCAGAGTGACAATTAAGGTCTGTTGTATGTAGCAATGTATATTTTGATGTAATAATTACCATGACGTCATCAATAATTGTGTACTGATGAGCACTGACTGACGTGAAAGCAGTAGTAAGGCAGCACAGAACGTCAAACCTGATCTAGTATATTGCTGAGAAACTTTATCGCGAGAAGTAAAGTATTTTGAAGTATGCACAAACCAGTATCTGTAGGAAATGGAGATAAACAAACCTTATCAGTTTATCTGTTTATATTAAAAAAAATCATGTGAACAGCATACATCTTTTGGAGTTGGATCGCAAAGCACATACAAAACCTCCACGGGGAAGTTACTTTAAGCCAGAATGCTACATAATGTATATAAAAGGAAGGATACTCCTAGCCAAAAATATACAAAATCTTCCAGTAATAACTGATGCAAATGTACCCTTTACCTATAACTTCAACGATTTATTCTCCTTTTCCTAAGACTTACCTTGTATGTTTCCATCAATGTATTGCCACGTTTTAACTCCTTTGAACTAAGCCATTTTTTTGTAGATAAAAGATAGCAATATTAATTATTGTATCACTACATTTCCCCAACTCTCTTCTAACTTCCCCAGTAATTTATCCCTATTCACGTTACTATCGAATATCCCTAGGCTATAGTTGTTAATGTTGGTTGCGATGAAAGGTAACAGATTTTTCACAAGTGTATCAACACTTGTTTCAATCATGTTTGTATTATGCACTACATATATAGGATGTGATGGGAATAAAACAAAGTTTAAACTAAAAGATAAGAGAATAAAAAGGTCTTACTGTAAAATTATCGGTACAGTTATAGGATACCATAGACAGAGACGTGATGTACGTATTGTTTGTTTGAACACCAGGTGTAATGAGTACTGTACATGTTTACTTGTGTTTACACGGGTTGGTTGGGCAGAATTAGTCCTGCAGATATTAAGTGTATTATGACAGCAAATGTGTGTTTGTTGTTTTACATTTACATTTACATTTACGGCGATACTGCAAAGGGCCGTCGAACAGCATCAACTTGCAGGTAATATACGGCCGTCGAACGACGGGGCATATTAAGAAATCACGTCGCGCATGGTGTCCGGTCGATATGTCGAGTAACGTTCAACGGATTAACTTCAAACTCCTTAGTTAAGTTAATTTCCATAAATTATCAAACGGTAATTTACGGAGTTATGCCCCTTTACTCAGATACGCTCGGATGAGTTCGATGACCACTATTGCCGTCTGTAATTTAAGAGTTACATCCCTTTATGCAAACAATGTCAGACAAATATATCAAGTTGTTTTATTAACTTCAAACTTCATAGAAACGTTCATAACCATGAGAACCTAGATGTTATCGATACACACCATTTACGGAGTTATGCCCCTTTATTGAATTGGCGAAATATTGTCTCGAGTAATTTTCAACAGATTAACTTCAACCTGCATGGGCAGGTTTATTACCACGATAGCTAGGACAAGTTGCATCCTGAATAAGTGGAGTGAGTGACATAATAAATGAACATAATGTTTAGACTCATTCTCCTTGGTTTCATTTTGGCAAAACAAAAACATCATAGGTAATTATATGAAAACCTAAGGTAATTAAGTGTTGATTAATGATATGATAATATCAATAACACTTTTAGTGTTCAACTATAGGAATTAGATCTTGATTACTGTGGAAATATTGAGCACGTCTTAGAAAATTGCAACTCGATAATATTGTAGCATTGCTTTCTTATACGTCCGCTAAGATTAGCGTATTGTTTTATCACGATGTTTGTAACATCTGTCCATCCGACAGTCCTCTTTGTATTATACATTGTGACCACAATTAGTCCATGTCATTGCCAATCATTTCAGATCTGGTACGTTCGATGGCAATATATGAGGATGAAAACGTATGGCGATGTTGCGGTGAATTTTATGACAGTTATATGGCCCGTTGTCAATCAACTAGCATATATACATGTTCCACAGTTTTCAACCTATTTCTTTGGTGTTTAATGTGTTATGGACATATTCATTGATTATATAACGAATAGTGAAGGATACTAACAATGTCATAAATACATATATTTTCAGCTTTAATGTCGATTTATCAATACTATTTATGGTAATCTACATCGATAGTGCGTCTGTTATTGTCCTTGGGCGGTTAAATGTACTCGGCTGTGGCGGAAAAAACACTTAGAAAAATACCAACAGTCCTGGAATTTGACCCGTATCGAAGGTTGTGTATATACATGGAAAAGTTGAACTTGCCATGAATGGGATTTGTCCATCACGGCATTTCACCTTGCTACATCCCTGATTTCCATACACCTTTGTGTTTACTCCCCCGTGTAAGACGACAGTATAGGAATGATCTCGTGTTATGTTGATAACGTGCTGGAATTCAATATTACACATTGTCTCATTTGTTAACACCGTATGAGTTTCCTTATATAGAGTGTCACCATCCGGACTGTAGACTCATATTAGAACATTCCGATCGCTCCCATACGACCCATAAAGCTGCAGTCCATGCATGAACATGTCAACTGTAGAGACAAAAGATATGGAACCACTGTCATTAAGACTCAATGTATCCCATCAACTGTTCCGCTTACCCGTAAGTCTGCTTATGCATTCAAATATTCATTTTAATGGTTTTCTATCTTTTCGTTGGTTCACGCTGAATTCTGTCCATGGATATGTCTTGTTGTCCTGCTGTAACCCCATGACGGTCACTAACTGTTCTGCCGTCAGGACATCTCTCGTAGTAACATGGTGTAAGAAATACTTCGTGTCCATGATGGGGAACCTGACTGTGTAGATTATGTCCCCTAGTACCTCCCGTCTGTTTATATCCGTTACCTCCAGGCCTTGACGTCCACACTCCACCCCTGACCACCGCATCACCGCCTCGTACACCACGCTCTCCTCCACCGCTAAGTCGTCCGACTCTGTGATACTCTTTACACAGACGCCACACAAGTCGACGAAACTTGCAGACTTCAGCACGTCTTCTTGTGATCTTGCGATCATATTTGCAAAGTCCTCCTTTAGGCTTTCCTCCGTATAAATATGGGCTAGTTCCAATAGTAGGCATACATTTACGGTGGTTAGAGAAGTCTTCAAGAAGGTTTCACACTTTTCGACAAGATGGTCCACCATGTATTTTCGCGCAGCTGACAGGACAGAGGCTGCGGTGTTGATGGTCAGTTCTATCGTGTCTGTATACAGATACCTAAATTTAAATAAAACATACACTTATTCTACCAACAGTACACCTACCAACACGATATGACATACACACTATCTGTATTACTCTTGATAGGGTTTTAAATGTGTTCAATCGTATAAAGACCGAATTACGATCAACATTCAACTTGCAGGTAAGTATCGTTTTATTTATCTGATATGTTCAGGAATTGTAAAACAGTAAATCTTACCTCAAAAACGTTGTGAACACCTCTTGTTCAATATCCGGAATTTCTATTTCGCCATTTTTTGACAGATTTCCCTCAAACATGTCGTAAAATTCAGGACTTCTGCTGATGAGAATAGTTTTATGGGCGGGAATCCTATATTTGTCCTCCCCAACCAGGAATGTAACGTCACTTCCTATACCGGAAGTCAATAAATGATTCAGACACTCGACCAGTGATTTATCACACTGCCAATATGGTTCTTGAGTCTGCGCAGTTGCCATTTTCGCCTTGAAAGAAATGGACAATGAAAGATGCGTGTGTGAAAATAGCTGTATAAAATTCAGAACGATTGATATTATAATGAGTCCTACATTGAATGTTCGTTAGTAGTACAAAAGTACCGCTGCTGACACAGGGTCATGGAGTTCCGGTTGAATTCTGCAAAATCTAAATATATATCAAACGCGGAAAAAACCGTGCGCATCATTACGGTACCATCCGGTTAGGGTGCTGCTGCAGGGTGGTGCGGGGTGGTGGTAAGGGTTATATAGGAGACTGCCTCCATGACCCTGTGCCAGAAGCGGTACTTTTGGGAGCGTCTAACCCATATACAGTATCGAGTACTAACCACGAGCACTAAACCACCCCGCTAATCCTCCTACAGTTACAAAGTGTATCATTATCTGGTTGTATACACACTCATGTTTACATTCACGTACATTCGCCATTTGCATTCTATCGGTTGAATGACACTTGGATATCAGTGTTAAAATGGAATAGACATGATACCTGATATGCTGCCTTAATAAAAATATTGTATATACTGATATTGCAGTCTTTCTCGATTATATGCTAGGATATATCATTCGTCTGTAAATGTATACACTGGAGGGGACATTTTGTGTTAGCACTGAGTCTGTGCTAGGATTCGTATACAATACGATGTAAACAGATATAACGTCTGTTTCTATTTAACGTATACGACGCATTTATCAAGTATGAGTATGTTTGGGGTTTTGGATATGAACAATGTAGCGTGTAGGTTGACTTTGTACTAGGATATATATTGACATAAACGACATACTTGTTGTACAGCGTATGACTTGGTTTAAAGAATGTGTAACACCACTCGATATCTACATAAGAATAAAGACTTTTAATGTCCATGTTTCATGAAAGTAGGAAAGGGAATACAATACGGTACGGTTTTTATCGGTGCTGTTTTACTTATCTGGTTGAAACCGGTTTGACTATTTCTAAACGTGATGCAATCGTTACCGCTATAAATAGATGCAGTCAGGAAAAACCGAAATACATCGATGAGAACCCCCCCCCCGTATACACGTGACGTCATCGATCAGTACCCCCTACCGAGGGGGGGGGGGGGGGGGGGGGGGGCACTAGGGAGGTGCCAGGGAGGTGGTAAGCATTATATAGTGGAGTGCATTCAATGCCCTGTACAAAAGTATTTTAGAAATATATCTTCAATAAGATTCATCAGTTTGGAGATATGTGTACGTGTTAAACGTGTTCAAGACCGACTGGTCCCTTTGTCAAGCTATGACTGAGTGAGCGATTTGTATTATATTTACCTAAACAAAGATGTGACGGAATTGTATACATTTTTATGTCACTCGACCCGGGACGTTTCGCCTATCGATAAATAATACGTATTTTCAAAATTGTCAGTATTGATTATTTTTGGTTGTAAATAAAACACAATATTTCGTTAAATTCATTGAGTCCAACTTGGGTGAATATTGCTCAGGTGTAAGTAGTTATGCACGGGATACGAATAACGATGTGCGGCCTTTGAACATTTGTTGAGATATTACGATAAAAAAATTCAGAAGTTCAGAATTACCGCTGAATCAAAATCGTATATGGTGCAGGTTTTTTAACAACGAGAATACAAAAGTATTAAGGCGTACACGTATTTTATTACGATACAGAAACTTGTACAGATATTTTAGGGTACAAAATCTTTTTTAAAGATATTCAATAAGAATCTTCTTATCTCAGAATCAACAATGAGCATCGTTCAAATTGTTTGTGTATCTATCGTCAACTTATCGTAATTAACTTCAGGCTTTGAGTAGTAAACTTTCCTACCGTTTCACAACAATATGGTATTCTCTGTTAAACATATTATCATAACACAAGTACAGGTATGATACTAACAAAGTAACACTTTTCACTTACCGTACAGTTGGTAAGATTATGATATTGTCTGATATTCCTTTTCATTCTTTCCACCAGGAGAATCCGACTTGCGGTGTTACTAGGAACTTCAAAACGAAAGTAGACTGTTGAGTTTCTAAAATCAGTGAAGGTATTGCATCATCTTCTCTCAGTTTGTGTACGCCTGTTGAAAGACTATGTTGTCGCGTTAAAATTGGTGGGCAGGCGTGTGGGCGCGCTTAGTGTCCGCTTGATATCTTTATTAATTTTCAACAGATTAAATTGAAACTTTATAGAGAAGTTCATTGCCACCATAGCTCGGACTAGTTCGATAACGACTGTTGTTAAATGTAAACTGTAATTTATGGAGTTACGGCCCTTTATGTACAGCCATACAGACAGGTGCTCATTTAATGTATGACGGGCTTCATGCAATACGGGTGTAACCAATGTGTGTTCATACCGGCATGAAATTTAAAAAACGCCGTTCAATCCCTATATAAACGCAAATTCGTTACATCCATATTGCATGAAACGGGCTTTATGTTTAATATGGATGTAACTGAAATGTGTTCATACCGGCATGAACATTTTAAAATTTTGTTCGATCCATATATTTACATTTTTACTTTAGAACAATTGTTTAATTTTGTTTATTTGTAATTAAATAATTATTTCATTTAGTGCGTGTTGTATATGCGTTGTCCTGTAAACAACTAGCGGAATAGCCTTATTTAAATAAAATTGGCGCCAATAATTAACCGTAGTAATTTTAGCGTTTGGCGCAGGGGCATCATCCACGTTATCCGAAGCGAAGCGATAAGACTCTCATTGAATATGGTTTATCTATGACGTCATATAAGTAAACCTTGTGTTATATTACGAGAGTTTGTTTTACTTTCATACTCAAATGAAATGCATATTTCTGCTGGTAATGTACATATATTGGGTTGCAGCGCAAATGTAAATATACAAGATTGTTTAAAATTCATGTCTCAACAACAAAAAATACTGTAGTACAACTAAGGTGATTATTAACTCATTCACCCCTACAATTTCATAATGAACTATTCCAACCATTGAATTGGAAGAGTTCAAATGTGTCTTCAGAGGTGAATGAGTTAAAGCCCATACATCTTTTTCTGATATGAGTTGCTTACTCATTTACTGAAGCAATGACTCACTTTATATTAAAGACATGTTTTATAATTTCCTTTTTGATGAAAATACCTCCACAAGGTTACTTGATGTTTGGACCTCTTTATTATAAAGCAGGGAGCTTGTCGACAGCACTACCTCTCCTGGTGATTGTTATTATGTAGCTTATTAGAAGTGACGACCGGTTTTGCCCCTACAGTGGGCTACTGAAGAAAAAACCCACTGTAGAGGCGAAACCGGTCGACACCTGTAATAAGCTACACGAACTACTTGCTCCTTCGCCTGTTGTAATTGAATCTATTTCGTAATGTATTCATTTGTTACTCAATCCTCTGCATACTTTTGATTTAAGTTCATTTTGTATTCTGTAAATGAAATTATCAGTTAATTACAAACTGTTATGAAAATGGGATTGTTCTCTTGTATTATTTTCACCTTTTCATGTGTATCTTTTAAAGAGAGGTTGAAATTAACACAGAGCAAAAAGAGTATGTAATGGCCAATATTTCTGACACAAAAGTAACATGACCTGGTGGTAAAGTAGTGGTGTGAATGTTAATCAGTATATAGCTATCTTCATCTGACTGGTGGATTGTTGAGTCTGGATGAAAATGGATGAATGCCGCATCCTTCATGAAGGGGATGTTCTAATGTATTTGACATGTAACATGGCATTTGATTGGTCAATCCAAATTATTTGCAAAAGACTAGCCATGATATATCATCAACAAATATATCATCTGGATATGAAGCCAGGATGGCGATTTTTATTGATGTCCATGACCCCGACTGACCCTGACAGATCATGAAATTAATTATTCATGACGTCACAAACATTAGTGTGACCCCGAAAGGTCAATGAAACTCCGCCTCACTTTAAATATTCCTGACATCACCAATCCACAGCAGAGTGACCCGGATTTTCAAGTATTCGCTCAAAAATTTGAATAATTGTTGTTTTGTGATAATACTGTTTCAAATACGTATTGCCACAAGTAAAACTCAATTTGCAACAGTATAATCTCAATATAGCGATTATACCGCCACAAATCACTTAACTTGTGACTTCTGTACCTTAACTGGGGAAACGTGTCTCGGAACATTGCGTGCAGTGCTTGGTGAAAACCTTTTAAACGGCCAGAATGTGAAAATACATCATGGTGTGAATGATCTGGACATAAATAAAATATGTGATAAGAACATGTATCTGATCTATATGTATAACAGGAAGTATTACCGGAGTTTGACTTTGACTTCTCTTGCCCTCCCAAATGAGGACAAATTGACCCTGACGGCCAATGTTTGTACCAAGCATACAAGAGTTAGTATTTAAGCATATGTAAAGGACGAAATTAACACTGAGTGAATATAGATTTTCATGGTGAAGTTTACATTTTGTTTGAGCAAAATTATAGTTTCCAGGTATCCAGTGAATGCAACCATGTCATATCTTTATCCGGTATTCATTTAAGTAAAAAAATCATGGTGACTTGTGAATAAATTATGCATTTGATATTTAGAATAGCTTTGCAACTTATATATGATGTTTGTACATACAGAGTGGTAGGTGTGTAGGATTTCTATATGATGTGGGTACATACAGAGTGGTAGGTGTGTAGGATTTCTATATGGTGTGGGTACATACAGAGTGGTAGGTGTGTAGGATTTTTATATGATGTGTAGTACATACTGAGTGGGTGGTGTGTAGGATTTCTATATGATGGGTGGTCCATACTGAGTGGTAAGTGTGTAGGGTTTATATATGATGTGTGTACATATTGAGTAGTCGGGGGGTATACTTTCTTTATGATGTTGGTACATACTGAGTGGTAGGGGTGTAGGATTTCTATATGATGGGTGGTCCATACTGAGTGGTAAGTGTGTAGGGTTTATATATGATGTGTGTACATATTGAGTAGTCGGGGGGTATACTTTCTTTATGATGTTGGTACATACTGAGTGGTAGGTGTGTATGATTTCTATATGATGGGTGGTACATACTCAGTGGTAAGTGTGTAGGGTTTATATATGATGTGTGTACATATTGAGTAGTCGGGGGGTATACTTTCTTTATGATGTTGGGACATACTGAGTGGTAGGCGTGTATGATTTCTATATGATGGGTGGTACATACTGAGCGGTAAGGGTGTAGGGTTTATATATGATGTGTGTACATACTGAGTAGTAAGTGTGAAGGGTTTATATATGATGTGAGTACATACTGAGTGGTCGGTGTGTAGGATTTCTATATGATGGGTGGTACATACTCAGTGGTAAGTGTGTAGGGTTTATATATGATGTGTGTACATATTGAGTAGTAGGGGTGTATACTTTCTTTATGATGTTGGGACATACTGAGTGGTAGGCGTGTAGGATTTCTATATGATGTGTGTACATACTGAGTGGTAAGTGTGTAGGATTTCTATATGATGTGTAGTACATACTGAGTGGATGGTGTGTAGGATTTCTATATGATGGGTGGTACATACTGAGTGGTAAGTGTGTAGGGTTTATATATGATGTGTGTTCATACTGAGTGGTAGGTGTGTATACTTTCTTTATGATGTTGGGACATACTGAGTGGTAGGCGTGTATGATTTCTATATGATGGGTGGTACATACTGAGTGGTAAGTGTGTAGGGTTTATATATGATGTGTGTTCATACTGAGTGGTAGGTGTGTATACTTTCTTTATGATGTTGGTACATACTGAGTGGTAGGTGTGTAGGATTTCTATATGATGTGTAGTACAGACTGAGTGGTTGGTGTGTAGGATTTCTATATGATGTGAGTACATATTCAGTGGTAGGTGTGTACGATTACTATATAATGTGTACATACTGAGTGGTAGGTGTGTAGGATTTCTATATGATGTGTGTACATACTGAGTGGTAGGTGTGTAGGATTTCTATATGATGTGTGTACATACTGAGTGGTAGGTGTGTAGGATTTCTATATGATGTGTGTACATACTGAGTGGTAGGTGTGTAGGATTTCTATATGATGTGTGTACATACTGAGTGGTAGGTGTGTAGGATTTCTATATGATGTGTGTACATACTGAGTGGTAGGTGTGTAGGATTTCTATATGATGTGTGTACATACTGAGTGGTAGGTGTGTAGGATTTCTATATGATGTGTGTACATACTGAGTGGTAGGTGTGTAGGATTTCTATATGATGTGTGTACATACTGAGTGGTAGGTGTGTAGGATTTCTATATGATGTGTGTACATACTGAGTGGTAGGTGTGTAGGATTTCTATATGATGTGTGTACATACTGAGTGGTAGGTGTGTAGGATTTCTATATGATGTGTGTACATACTGAGTGGTAGGTGTGTAGGATTTCTATATGATGTGTGTACATACTGAGTGGTAGGTGTGTAGGATTTCTATATGATGTGTGTACATACTGAGTGGTAGGTGTGTAGGATTTCTATATGATGTGTGTACATACTGAGTGGTAGGTGTGTAGGATTTCTATATGATGTGTGTACATACTGAGTGGTAGGTGTGTAGGATTTCTATATGATGTGTGTACATACTGAGTGGTAGGTGTGTAGGATTTCTATATGATGTGTGTACATACTGAGTGGTAGGTGTGTAGGATTTCTATATGATGTGTGTACATACTGAGTGGTAGGTGTGTAGGATTTCTATATGATGTGTGTACATACTGAGTGGTAGGTGTGTAGGATTTCTATATGATGTGTGTACATACTGAGTGGTAGGTGTGTAGGATTTCTATATGATGTGTGTACATACTGAGTGGTAGGTGTGTAGGATTTCTATATGATGTGTGTACATACTGAGTGGTAGGTGTGTAGGATTTCTATATGATGTGTGTACATACTGAGTGGTAGGTGTGTAGGATTTCTATATGATGTGTGTACATACTGAGTGGTAGGTGTGTAGGATTTCTATATGATGTGTGTACATACTGAGTGGTAGGTGTGTAGGATTTCTA